AATGCGTACCTCCCCATTCGGCTTGACAGGGGTGACAATGGGGGTCTCCCATCGGGCCAACGCAACCGGTCCTAGGATCCCTTGTTCCACCAGGCGATCCAGCTCCGCCTCGATTTTAGGCTTCATTGCAGTCCGCGGTAGCCGGGCCTTGATGCGGATGGGCCATACTGCGAGGTCTAGGTCCAGGGAAATGGGGGGGGGGCTGAGTAGAGTCCCAGTGTGCCATTAAAGACACAGGGAAATTCCGCACACACCTCGCCAAAACCCCGCTTCCCGACCTGATGGATTCCATTCACCGAGAGTCTTAGGGCCTCGAACCAAGATAGTCCTAGTAGACTGGAGAGGGGCCTATCCACCACCAGCAGGTCTAGGGTGCCATTAAAGTCCTGGTACTCCACCTGAAACTTGCCCCAGCCCCGCACCGCCACGGGGTTCTTATTAAAGTCCCGCAACTGGAAACCCCACGACTTCCACAGGGGAGTGCCCCCTGGGGACACAGTGAGCGGAGCGTGTCCACCGAGATGATGGAGTAGGTTGACCCAGAGTCGATCTCCATGTGGCAGGGAGACCCCTCTATAAGGACCGTGACATGCATCTTGTTTGGGCCGTTAGGGGGCAAGTTACAGACCTGGTGTTGTGGAAAGTGTGCTGATACAGAGTGGAGGTCATCGGCCCACTCGGGTGAGGTCTGGTGTGCAGCCGATCTCGGGCATTGTCCCTTGGCGTGGCAGATCCTGGCGATGTGCCCTGATTTATTGCTGGCATGGCAGATCGCGGTTCGGAAGCAGCACGATCTGCGTTCATGGCCTTTCCCGCAGCTTGCACACTGTGTAGACGCGGTCGATGTCTTGCTCGGCGTTGGCGTGGTCGATGCCTTGCCTGGTTTGGAAGACGATTGCCACTGATGGACCTGTAGGACCTCGTCCTCATCCGAGGCGTCGGAGCTGACCGTCACTTGAGTGCGGTGGACCGCCTTGGTGCAGCGGTCTTGGTGGATTTTCTCGTATGCGTTGGCCTCCCAGATCACTTTATCCAGGTCCAGCTCGTCCTGGCTGACCAGCTTGCGGCGGAGCTTGGGCTCTCGTAGACCCACCAGGAATTGGGTCAACAGGGTGTCTGCTAGGTGCAGGAAGTCGCAATTTGTGGCTGCTCTCCTGAGCCTGGCCAGGAACTCGGGGGCCGACTCGTCCGGCCCCTGGACCCTTGCGCAAAAGTCCATACGCTCTGCAAATTTCGTGGGCCTAGGTGAAAGGTGGTTCGTCAGCACTTTCACCAGCATGGCGTAGGGCTCATCCTTTGTCTTCTTCGGGGCGATGAGGTCCTTGAGTAGTAGGACGGTGCCCATGCCACACAACTGCAGGAGATGAGCTTTCTTCTTCCCCTCGTCAGTGATGTCGTGGCAGTCGAAAAAGTTTTCAAGTATTTCGAGCCAGATCTCCCACTCCGTGGGGCGGGAGATGTCAAAGGCCGCGATGTTCCCCTGGTTGGTCGCCATTGTGCGGTGCCCACATGGTTGGGGTAGCTCAGGAACGGCGGCAGGGGCCAGAGCGTTGTGGAGGTCGCTGCTGCTCTCGGGGTCAGCAGGGCGGGTTACGGAGCCGGGAGCGGAGCGGTGAGCAACGGCTGGAGAACTCGGTTGCGAAGCAGGGTGGTTCGCGGTCATCTCGGCGTCGGGGCTCGATGCGGTGCTCGAGTCGGCGTCTGGGTCTTTGTTCATGGGAGTGCGGATCCCATCCTCGTCGCCAGTGAAAAGTACACAGATGGAGAGTGATTTCAGCTAAGCATACTTTTATTAGTCAGGAACAAGACACCTTGGCCGGCTCACAGGCCGGCTTATATTCCTGCAGAGACCCACCACCGCACACACACTCCCCACTCCCGATAGGCTATTTACAGTAAGCCAGAGACCTATTGGCCTTCCGGCTTTGGACGGGCCTGGCTAGGATCCTACTGGCCCATTGTCTTTAGGCATGAAGCTTGAGGTTTTGGTCAAGGGACAAGCTCGGGCATGCCTGGCTTCGTCAGGCTGTATACACTACACCCCTCCCCCCTTGGTTCGCAATGCACCCGCAGACAAAATCCTCCAGGTAGGCTGGTGGTTTCCGAGTGCGGGTCGAGCGGTGCGGTTCCAGGGCTGCAGAGGCGTTTCCCCCGGAAACCCTTGGTGCCGCGCGGACTGGGGATGGTGCTGGGTGTGGCAGTGCTGGTGTTTCAGGCGCCTCTGGATGAGGGGACTCGGGCTCCCCTGCTGGGGAAGTCCCAGCGTCGGCCTTGAGGGGCAGGCTTGGTCCGGTCACCAGTTGTTGGACTCCTTGCTCGGGTTCCGGAGCGTCAGCCAGATCCGAGTCCTCGGGGTTGAAGGGCAGCGTCCTGCGGCATAGCTGGTCTATGTGGCGGTGTAGCACTTGGCCGTCCTCACACGAGACCTCGTGCGATCGGGGGCCCTTCACTCGGATGACTCGAGCTGGAATCCACGGGGGGGCCTGGGTGTAGTTCCTTGCATATACGGGATTGTCCAGGAAGAAGCCCCTGGCGGCCTCATGTGTCTCCATGCTTGGGGCCTCCGGTGATGCCCAATCGGGGGGCAGCCGATCCAGCCGGGTCGCCAGGTGGCGGCCCAGGAGTAGTTCCGCGGACTGCGCCCCGTAGTGGTGTGGGGCGTCGTCCGCTGGCCAAACAGGAAAGACGCCAGTTTGTAGTCCCAGTCCGCTGAGTCCATGCGGTGGAGGGCGTCCTTGGTTGTGCGGACCATGCGTTCCGCCTGGCTGTTGGTCAGAGGGTGGAACGACCGGACATGGCAGATGCCGTAGTACCTCGTGAAGTCCTGAAATTCTGCTGAGGTGAAGGCTGTTCCATTGTCCATGATGAGCGTGTCGGGAATTCCCTGGGCACTGAAGATTCGCCACATCGCCCTGATGGCCACTTTGGAGGACATGGCGGAGACCGGGACCACTTCCAGCCACTTACTGTATGAGTCTACTAGCAGGAAGAAAAGCTGGCCCTGGAAGGGTCCCGCAAAGTCCAGGTGCAATCTTGACCAGGGGCGATGCAAGGATTCCCAGGCCCTCTCTGGTGCTCGGGGGGGTTCTGGCCGTGAGGCGTGGCATGGCTGGCATCTCTTTATGGCGTCCTCAATGTCCTTGTCCAGCCCCGGCCACCATACATAACTCCGGGCCAAGGCTTTCATGTGCACCACCCCTGGATGCGCCTCGTGCACGGCGGTGAGAACCCGTTCCCTTAGGGGCTTACGAATGACCACCCGGCTCCCCCACAGTATGCAACCCTTGTGGGCCGATAGCTCGTCTTTCCGGGAAGTGAAGGGAGCAATGTCCGGGTCCCCTTTGGCCTCTGGCCACCCCCTCACCACCCAGTCTAAAACCCTCCCAAGAAGCTTGTCCTTGGAGTTGCAGTGGGTCACTTCCTTTACGTGGACAGGCTGGTCCGGAAGGGACTCCAGCAGCGCGACCTGGAGCGCGGGAGCCGGATCCGGGTCACAGACAGGCAGGGGAAGGCGGCTAAGGGCGTCTGCATGACCCATCGCCTTCCCTGGGCGATGAACCAGGGTGTAGGAGTACCCCACCATGAAGATGGACCAGTGCAGAACCCGGGGCGAGATCATCTGGGGAGTTTGGCGGTCAGGGGCGAGAAAGCCCAACAGCGGCTTATGGTCCGTGAGGACCGTGAATGGCCGCTCATACAGGTAATGGTGATTTTTTAAAATCCCCGCCACAATCGCCAATACCTCTTTATCGATTTGCGCATAGTTGCGCTCAGCCGCGGACAGAGCCCGCGAGTAATAGGCCACTGGGACCTCGCGGCCGTCTGGCAGCCGATGCCCCAGGACTGCTCCCACCCCATAAGGCGATGTGTCGCAAGCCAGCACCACGGGAAGAGCCTCGTCAAAATGCGCAAGGACCGAATTAGACACCAGCAGGTTCTTAACCGCCTGGAATGCCACGGCTTGCGGCGGCCCCCAGACCCAGGAAGCCGACTTATCCAGGAGGCGGTGGAGCGGCTCTGTAACTGCACCTTTCCCTTCCCCTCCCCACAACAGACACCCTGTGAGATAAGTGGGGCTGAGAGAGCTCTGACAGAAACTGCTCCCGAGAGAACAGCTCTGACAGAACTATGGCTTGCCCAAGGTCATCCAGCAGGTGTAACTGGAGGAGTGGGGAATCAAACCCGGTTCTCACAGATTAGAGTCCGTGCACTTAACCACGACACTCAAACAGACTTGAGTACATTAAAGCACCAAACTCTCAAATGGCCAAAAAACAGGATCAGAGGCAGGACATGGGAGTTGCCACAGGAGGAAAGTGTTTTGAGGGAGGGAGGGACTGGTTGCTTTACTGGGTGGACAGAAACTGTTCCAGAGAGCCCTAGTGTCAATGGGGTTGGGGTCCTGTGGGTTCAGGCAAATAAGACAACAATGATTCCAAGTTTCTGTCAGTCGTTTTCTTTGCTTGGAAGGAATGTGGCAACTTACAAGTGCCCTGGGCACTTTTCACACATGCTAAATAATTCAGTTTCAATCCACTTCAGCAACCATTTGTGAGTGGATGGTCTGAGTTGTCTGGTTCATTCTCTTTAGGCAAGTCTACTAGAATGGGGGGGGGGGGGGGGGTTTTTTTGGTTTTTTTTTGTTTCTGGTTTTGTTTCTTGTTCATCAGGTCCTGCAGCCCTCGGATGGAAAGGATTTACTTGGATTCATGCCTTGTCTTTCAGCATAGTTACAGGTGTGGGTGGTTTAATATTTTTTTTAAAAAGCAACAACCCTTACTATAGATTCCAATTTCCTATTAAAATACTTTCCCAAACCCCTGATTTCTGCCCAGTCTTTACGCAGTTCCACAGAACTCCTCCCCCCTCCTTTGCGCTCAGTTGATTTCACCCAAGCGGAAAGAATGAGCAATTTCCAGGAAAGCAAACAGCCCATCGCCGCTTGAGCACGGAGAAAACGAAACTAACCCTATTGCTCATCAGTCTTAGGTGTGGCACGGCCATGGCGGCTGGAGGTCCAGTCAAGGAGCTCTGCGAGGAAGCCTCCTGCTCCGTCTGCCTGGACTATTTCGAGGAACCGGTGACCATCGCCCAGTGCGGCCACAACTTCTGCCGAGCCTGCCTGACCCGCAGCTGGGGGGAGTCGGGGGCAGAGACTTCCTGTCCCCAATGCAGAGGAAAGACGCAGGAGGGGAGCCTCCGCCCGAATCAGCAGCTGGCCAAGTTTGTCGAAATAGCCAAGAAATTCAGTCCTCAGGGCAGGAAGGAGACAGCAGTGAAAACAAAAGAAGGAAGGGAGGAAGTTTGCCAGAAGCATCGGGAGCCCCTGAGATTTTTCTGTAAGGAGGACAAAGACCCCCTCTGCGCCGTGTGCAGCAGATCCAAAGAGCACAAATATCACCAAGTGATTCCTGTAGAGGAGAAGGTAAGTAAAAAAATATGTGGTGGATCATGATGAATAAATAGTTGTGAGAACTTCTCTGTATACTAAAGCAGAGAATGAGCAGTAGTAAGTATGAAATAAGGTTAGTTTTTGTGCCCAAAAGCTTGACAATGGCTGCAGTCACACACACTAAATCCACTTTCAGTCCTCTTTCAATGCACTTTCCAACTGGATTTTTACAGTGTGAACTGGCAAAATCCAATTCAAAAGTGCACTGAAAGTGGATTATTTAGGGTGTGTGACTACAGCCAATGAATAGGAGGCTGAAGTTGGTTCCTTATTCACACTTCCTTATTCATTCCTTATTCGTTACTTATTCAAGTAGTCATTCAGAAATACTAAGGAGAGAGTTGGAAAGCTCTGAACCCCAAAATAAGAACTGGACCACCACATATCATATACCCCCACATTCACAGGACTCTCCCCTTTGTGGGGATATATGCTGTATCCTGGTCCAAAGCATGGTTCTGGTGCCAGCTGCTCCAAAGTGCAGTGCCCCTAGGACAATCACACAAGCAGACACTGGAGCCAGGCTGCACCCCAAAATAATCTTTCGACCACCCCAAATGACACATCCCCACGCTCTGGGGATGGGGCCCTGCAAGGTGACATACAGTGACGGCCAGTCCAAACACTGGTTCTGACGCCACGAGCTTCAGTACGCAGGGCTTCCCTGAGGCCTGTATTTCAAAGAACATTTGAATAAGGAAGTGCCCCATGCACAGAAAATGAGGTTTGGACTCCAGAGCAATATTTTGGAAATCCAAATGTAGAAATACCTTACACTTATCGTTTCCGGGACAAAATGCCTCTGGAACACCTCAGAACAGGCCAGAATGGGCATTAAACAACAATAATGCTGCAAGAAACTGTGGGATGCCTTAAAGGCAATCCAGAACAATATTTTGGAAATCCAAACACAGAAATATTGTGCACTTATTAACCCATTACAGGCCAAAACACCGCTGGAACACCTCGGAACGGGCATTACACAAATAATAGTATCGCAAGAAACCATGGGATGCCTTGAAGGTACTCCAGAACAATATTTTGAAAATCCAAAAGCAGAGATAGTGTGCACTAATTAACCCATTCCGGGCCAAAATGCCTCCGGAACACCCAAAAACGGTCTGGAATGGGCATTAAACACACAATAGTACCGCAAAAAGCACTGGGATGCATTACAGGCATTCCAGAACAATATTCTAGAAGTGAAAACGGGCTCTTGCACCTTCATTAACCCTTTCCAGACCAAAATGCCTCTGGGACACCCCGGAAGAGTCTGGAGGTGTTTTGGCCCAGAATGGGTTAATATGTGCACACTATCACTGCGTTTGGATTGCCACAATATTGTTCTGGATTGCCTTTAAGGCATCACACTGTTTCTTGTGGTTCTATTGTTTGTGTAACGCCCATTCTAACCTGTTCCAAGCTGTTATGGAGGCATTGTGGCCTGGAATGTGTTGATAAGTGCACACTATCTCTGCATTTGGATTTCCAAAACATTGTTCTGGAGTGCCTTTAAGGCATCCCACTGCTTCTTGTGGTACTATCATTTGTTTAATACCTGTTCTGGCCAATTCCAAGGTGTTTCAGAGGCATTTTGGCCCAGAATGGGTTAATAAATGCACAATATTTCTGTGTTTGAATTTCCAAAATATTGTTCTGGATTGCCTTTAAGGCATCCCATGGTTTCTTGTGGTACTATTCTTTAATAACCGTTCTGGCCTGTTCCTAGGTAGGTTCTGGAGGCATTTTGGCCTGGAAAGGGTTATTAAAAGTGCGATAATTCCATGTTTTCACTTCTAGAATATTGTTCTGGAGTGCCTGTAATGCATCCCAGTGCTTCCTGTGGCACTATTCTTTGTTTACTGCCCATTCCGGGCCATTCTGAGCTGTTCCGGAGGCATTTTGTCCTGGAAAAGGTTAATAAAAGTGCAATTGTTCCATGTTTTCAGTTCTAGAATACTATTCTGGAGTGCCTGTAATGCAGGCTGCTGGCGCTTAAAATCAAAAAGGTGGCAGAGCAGTTTTTAAACTGAATATTGGGGGAAAGCTGACAGGAGATGAAAAGTCTCTGGTTTGGGTTGGCTCATCTGAGAGAGATGAGGGGGTAGCTGTTGCTTTTCTACAGGGAGGTGGATTGAAATTGTCCACAGAGGCCATGGCTAGTGACATGGACTGCCGAACAACATCTCGAGATGGCAAGAGGAAGGATGCAGGCTTAACTTGTAAGGGAAATTACAGCTGTTTCTATACAAATGCTAGAAGTGTCAGAGGTAAAATTGGGGCGTTGGAGTGCTTGGTGTTGGAGGGAAAAATAGACATTGTGG